TGGAGCTCACGAGTTCGACATCATCTACATGCCTTGGACGATGATTAAAGCGCAAGTGGTGGCAGACTTTCTAACAAACTTTTTCTAGCAATGTGAGCTGGGCGAAGTTGTAGATGTCGACAGCCAGACTTGGATTATGTATAACAACGACGTGTCTAAATAGACCAGAATAGTGCTCGGACTCGCCTTGAGCAGCGCGACTGGCGAACACACCATTCACTCGTTTTCCGTGGACTTCTAATTGACCAATAAACTAGCATATTACGAGCTCTGCTAGCAGGCTTACGCTTCACCTACGAAATGATCAATGTATGTTTTGGTTGGTTTAGTGCTGTTAACATATGCAAACAGCCAAAGGAGATTTCACTCCAGTCTGCCCCCCAACAAACTTCACTAGTTCCCTTATCGTATGCTAGGAGATTTCACTACAGGCTGGCGAACAAACTTCACCTGTTCCCTTATCATTTCCTCCTGTAATTGTTCATATAAAATTTTAATATAAGTAATAGCATTGTTGTCATGAGAGAAATATTTCTATTATTCTGTAATTAGTGTATAAAACATACTTAAATATCTTTCAGTTCAATGTTGGCCATCCAATAGTTGTATGCTTTGTCCCCATTGAAGCTTGAGCAGTTGTCTGGAAAAATAATAGTATTGTAAGCAAATATTACTATAATTTAGATAACAAATGAACTTATCAAAAAAAAGAAAAGAAAAAAATTTGAAGGCTTGAGAATATAACAACCCCATTGAGTCATGAAGGTGATAAAATTAAAATATGAAAAAAAGTTCTCCATAGAAGAGCGGGTTAATATAAATATGGGACTAACTTTTAGAGTTAAAGATGAATTATTTGATTTGAGTAGTTCCTCTCAAACATTATGTGATTCAAGAATATTATAGAAATTTAAGGATAACTTTTATAAAATTACAACATTGACAATATGAGAAAAAGCTCAAAGCAGCCCCTTGACTTTATTATAATGCCAATTTAGTCCTAGAGTATTACAATTCTCTAATTTCATCTCTCAATTATACAAAATTATTCTCAAATGGTCCATCCCCTAGAATCACAATTTTAATTAATGGAAAGTGAGAGTTAAGTTACAACGAAAGTTGTAGAATGAGAATTAAGTTGCAATGAAACTTGTAGAAGGTATTTAAAAAATTTGAAAATTTCTTTTTTGTAATTAAGAGAAAAGTTAGTATTTTACAAATTTTGGTGATTGAAAAAAATATTGATGACTTGTACAAAAAAATTCATAAATCACATTAACTTAATATTATGCTATAAAAAAGTTAGTTCGATGTACTTTTTTGTTGTATTAATGATCAAGTTGAATGTGGCAAAAATAAAAGTTTTAACACGGATGTGTCAACAACTATAGTTAAAATTAAATAAATGTATTGAAGAAATAGTAAAAGTATTATCGGGTAAAAAGAAAGAGAAGAAAAATTAGATTGAAACATTTATTCCATGGAAAGTGGAGGGCAAAGTAATATTTGATAAAGTGAGGCAAATTTGTTTAGCGTTAAGGTACAAGAACTAAATGAGGTAGGCCATAAGTGTCGCGACCCGATATGATAGCTTAGAATTAACCAAGTAAAGAAATGCGGTCAAACGATATTAACATTTTATTTATTTTCCACAAATTTTAACAACTTTCGATTTATAGAAGAGCCACTAAGAAACCGCAAAATACATTAAATTAAAATCAAATCATCATAAATTAACAACATAGTCTACAAGTAAAACATCTTAAATCAACACGCAACAATATCATTACTCAAAGGTAAAAAATAAAATAAATATAACCACAACACACAATATAATACCTATAAACAATAGTCCTCCTGTAAATTAAATCTTTCTTTTCAGACATATCAATCTACAATTTTTTCTGAAAGAAACAATAAAATTCAATTGTATGCTTTTCACCACTTAGTAAACAATTTTAATGTTATTGTGTTTTAAATAAATATGCAATTGTTATACATGAATGTCCCAAGAGTATGCAATTTTTTGATAAATCAAAACTATAAGCTTTCATGTCTAATTTAAGCCTTCATATTTCAATTCAAGTATTTATTATTTTTAATTTTTTTAAGAAGTCATATCAGAATTACTGTCACACCTACTAAAAAAATTACACTCATAGGTACTCCAAAAAAATTGCTCTTGAATGTACATCTTTATCATTTTCATGTTTCTTCATGCATGAATACATCGTATCCCATGCAAGTACCATATGGGAGTAATCATGTATGACTTAAGCTCTTACATTGCATTTTCTTTAGTCACGTCCATTTAAATTCTTTGAGCAATCATTTTCCTTTTTTACGATTTCATTTCATTCATTTCAATAATTCTTTAGTTTACAACATGCACATAAGTTATAAAAAAAACTGTCTAAAGTATTAAGACAAGTCTTTGTCTAATAAAACATCTATTTAATACATATAAGAAAGTAATTACTCACATTTATTATCGTAATCTTGCTCTTCTCTCTCCAATATGAACTTCTAAAGCTTAAAACTTAGTTAAACCTATTATTAATATTTTAATACACAAATATGTATATATTAGATTCATTAATTAATAATTAATAAACCCTAATATTTACCTTAGTTATCTCGATCTCTTTTGCATAAATATTGACCTCTATCTTTCTCCAATTCGAGACTTTTATAGCTTCAATTCTGATTTAATTTAACCTTTTATTATCATTTCAATTCTGATATTAAAACACACACACACACACACACACATATATATATGAATATGTATTTTTAGCTATTAAATTTATTAGTTAAAATGAATAATTCCTAACTTACCTTAACCTTTCTTTGGAGGAACCCGTAACTAGGGCACGTGTTTTTCCTCTTCCCTCATATTGAGGCTGGATTCGACTTTGCCTCTTTAATCCTCCTTGCACAGAGTTTATCGGACCTCTTATTCTTCACAAAGCCACTCAAATCCCCCTTTTCTTCTCCTTTGGGCTCGACACTACTCTGGCACAGTACGTATGGGTCGCCTTCCTTTGGCTAGGCTTTGACAACCTCCTTTTTCTTCCTGCACGATGCTGGTTAGTTTCATCTTCGCACACACATCAAATCTTAGGTATGAAAAGCACCGACTCCTTTCCTTCTCAAAACTTTTTCCTCTTCTTCTTGCACGTAGTATAGTGTTGCGGATCCCGTCTCCTCTCTCTTCTTTGATGAGACATGGAACCAAGCAAAACAACACACTAGCCTCTTCCTTTCTTCCTTCGAATTAGGGCACGGTGGATTCTCCTCATTTTTCTGTTTCTTCTTTCTCTTCCGTTGTCTCTTGTTCTCTTCCTCTTTTCTCACCCTTGTTTTCTGTGGGCTATGAATGAAAGGACCAAGAGAAACCCCCCCTCGACTTCACTTAAACGAATTGTCTCAACGGTTAATTCGATTCGACACATCTAAAAGTATTTATTTTTTTTATTTGTTTATTTTTACTTTTTTTATTATTTTTATTTATTAAAATATTAGTTATTACAGTAAGTAATGTGACTATAAGTCCAAAATGACATGTAACCTGGAGTTGAAATTGTGCATAATACTCAAAAGAGAATTAATGTTTATAGATTCATAAAATTGACCTCAATATTTGCAATAAAGATGATGATGATTTTGTATTACTTTTATAGTGTTATAATAGCTGCATGAGTAAGCATTGTTGATCATTAACTTTTATTTTTTTATTATTTGTTCTGTGAACTCTTGAGCGTTTTCTCAAAAGCTTTCATATATTGATATTGATTTAATCAACTTTCATGAAGGTTTGCAATCTTTGAGTGGCACTACAAATTTATTAATGTTTTGCTCAAATTTTGGAAGTATGCTTCATATTATGATTATGCTCTTTTTCATACTTCAAATTGCTAATTTGTTTCTCAGTGGGTCTTCTTGTTGGAATAGAATGTATTTTACAATAATTGTCATGCACAGTGAATGTATTTCAAATATCAGTAATTTATCTAGAATAAATTAAGAAAAAGATACTATCGTTTATTCATATTTTTCTGCCGGTCTTATGCTGAAACCACCATTTGTGCTGAATTTAGTTTTCATTTACTAGAAAGTTTGAATAGAAGCCATGTCCTCAAGAATTAGTTGGGGAGAGGATGTATTTTGTGAGATGAAGACATGTTTTTCTAAAGCTCTCCCCTTTTGAAAATTATGTTCATTTAAAAATTAACGCCATCTGTAGTCATCAATATTATTTTGCAAATAGAGAAAAAAAAACATGAAAATATTATAATTTTTGTTTTGCCTATTTTTTAAAGTTGGTACCTGGTATAAATACCTGGTGAATTGGGGCGTTGAATGCTGTCTTTTGATTAACAAGTCTGAGATGAAAATTGTACATGCTTGATCGCTCCGTTAGCATTTTATCTGATAGTAAATTTCAGTGAAGCGTAGTTCCTGGTTGTGTTTTAACAAATAACTAGGAAAAAAACATTCAGAACTAAGATAGCGTACTTATATGCATGTTCCTTCAGGGAAAGCAGAATTATCATGTACATTCCATTTAGACTTGAGTGCCATTTCTTTGGTGGTGTCTTTATTGCTTAGGTTCAATAGTCTGTGGTGGCTGCAAACCTTTTAGTCCCTCCTCGTTATATTTTACGGCACTTCATATTGATTGACGTTTTGTTCAAATTTTGAAAGTATGTTTCATATTATGATTATGCTCTTTTTCATACTTCAATTTGCTAATTTGTTTCTCAGTGAGTCTTCTTGTTGGATAGAATGTATTTTACAATAATAGTCATACACAGTGAATCAATGTCAAATTTCTGTATTTTATCTAGACTAAATTAAGAAAAAGATACTATCGTTCAATTTTTTTTGTCTCCTGGTCTAATGCTGAAACCACCATTTGTTCTCAATCTAGTTTTCATTTATCGATCTGACATCAAAGACCTATTTTATCCTGAAAGAAAGCCCTGTTTGTTCTGCAGACATATCAAAACCCTGCCATTAGCATCCCTCAAGGTCTGAACATTTCTGATGAAATGCTGAATGTTAACTCAGTCACGAGGCAATTAGTTGATCAGATTTCTCTGGCGAAGGCTTTCCTGGTCATTGCTAAAGAAAGCAACAACGTTCAGTTCGCTGGGGAGCTAAGCACCCAGATACGGAACTCCCAGGCTCTCCTCTCTGCTGCTGCAACTCGGGGATCCCCCTTAACTACTGAAGAGTCTGAGAGTACCATTCACATCATGGCTGTTTTGCTCTACGAAGCACAGCAGTTTCGTTATGATGCTGCAACTTCGCTTCTGAAGATGAAAGGCCAAGTCCAATCTCTTGAAGATAAGTCTAGAGCAGAAGCTGAAAAGAGTACGAAGTTTGGGCAGATAGCTGCTGAGGAGCTCCCAAAAGCTCTGTATTGCTTTGGAATCAGACTAATCATGGATTGGTTCAAATGGCCAAACCCAGACAAAAGAATCACATATGCACCACATTATTTTGACAAACTCCGGGACAACAACCTGCAGCACTTCTGTATCTTTTCGGATAACATCCTGGCAACATCAGTTGTCATCAACTCAACCACCACAAATGCCAAGCATTCTGACCAGCTTGTCTTCCATCTAGTCACCGACGATGTGAACTACATACCAATGAGGGCCTGGTTCTCCATAAACAGCTTTGGAGGAGCTACCATAGAGATCCAGAAAGTGGAGGATTTAAGCTGGCTTAATGCTTCATATGTGCCGGTCTTGAAGCAGCTCCAAGATTCTAATATGCAGAATTTTTACTTTTCTGGTAACAAGGACAGCAAAACTCCAATCAAATTCAGGAATCCAAAATATTTATCAATGCTTAATCACCTACGGTTTTACATACCAGATCTCTACCCTGCATTACACAAGATATTATTTCTTGATGATGATGTCATTGTTCAGAAAGATCTCTCGGAACTGTTCTCAATTGACCTGAGTGGAAATGTTATGGGAGCTGTTGAAACTTGCATGGAGACATTCCACAGGTTCCACAAGTACCTGAACTTCTCACACCCATTGATCCGTGCAAACTTTGACCCTGATGCTTGTGGATGGGCTTTTGGAATGAATGTGATTGATCTTATGGAGTGGCGAAGGAGAAATGTGACAGGAATCTACCATTACTGGCAGGAAAGAAATGCGGATCACACATTATGGAAGCTAGGGACTTTGCCGCCGGGTTTACTGTCATTTTATGGACTAGTTCAGACCTTGGATCCAAAGTGGCATGTCCTTGGTTTAGGGTATACAAACGTACATCCATCTTTGATTACTGAGGGTGCAGTTCTGCACTACAATGGAAACATGAAGCCTTGGTTGAAGATTGGAATGGAGAAATATAAGGGGCTCTGGGATATGTATGTAGACTATTCTCACCCTTTGCTGCAGCATTGTTTTGTGCATTGATAGGTTAATTGTTCTTCTGTGTAGTTGTTGGAGCAGAAGCAGGGTAAGATGATCATTCTTTCTTTCTAATTATTGAGAAGACTTTTCTTCCAAAATTTTGCCTTCCCCTTTGCTGGGTCAATTGTTTTTTATCGGTGATATATATGGGTGAGTTTTATAGCCTTAGAAGACTCGCCACAAAGTTCTGAATCATGGATGTTTCTTTTTAGTTACGAATTAGTAATAGACGTTTTAATATCGAAGGTAAAGCTCCTCTGGACTTGGACTAATTTGAGAACATTTTTCTCAACCGTCACATCTGAAGAAGATCTTGCCGTCTTATCTAAAGCGCTATTTACGTACAAAGATTGCACGCAGCTCTTCATGCATAATCCCCTCCCAATAATCATTCAATAACCTCTGTGAAGATTATTGGGGGTTAATGCGGAGTTATTTCGTCGTTATTTGGAATTAGTACCCTTTGCGTTTTCACGTCCATATTTTTTCTGATGTGAGGGTAGCCAAAATAATTCTGAAATAACCCCCTAATATCATTTAGAGGTTATTGGGAGGTTATTAAGAGGGGATTATGCACGGAGAGCTGCTGCGTGCGTTCTCCGTACGTAAATCTTATCTGAGAGTTTAAATGTTAGTTAGATGGGCATCATTCCATGTAGAAATTCGATGCCATTTTTGTCTCCACGGCCTGAGTGACCCATACTTTCTCTGCTACGATTTAGCCCAAAAATAAAACGGAGCACTGCTAAGGCCAGTAATTTATAGTAATATTGATGCGTTATATATTAATATTATATTGCTATTTATAGTAGTAGAAAAGATTATCATCTTAGTTTTACATGAAAATTTTTTACACATGAAATAAGCTATGAGCTACTGATATTAACATAATTCTGTATTCATTGAGGTGTCTTAATGGCACTAGAATTGAATAATTTTGGACTCTGGATTCAAATCATCAAAACACTCGAGATCTAGAAACCATTTGGTTTCCTCAAATAATATTATAAAGATTTCAAATATATTTAAGGGTTTGATTTCAACTCACCACAATTGTTTTGAAACTTTGGCTTCAATTACGAGTTTGCTAAATATGAAGTTTCAATGATCAAGATATAATTTTGAAAAATTTTAATTCATGTCATACGCCAAAATTCGTACCTGATCGTTTAGAATTTTTTTAGTGACGTGTTATTTAAATTTATTTTTAGACGTTATTTATGTTGCCTGAAAATATGAATATGTATTAAATTAATTGCAATGTAAAATTATAATTTTGAGAATATATGAGGCACGACCAATCTCCAAATTTACTCAAAGCATGATTTCACCTTAGCTAAACTCAGTAATTAAAATGGAATAAACATTAAAAATATATTTTGGCTTTATTTTCTTAATTATTCAAAATTAATTGAAGATATTGGCGAAGTTTTGGTGGCGGTCCATGCTCCCACTCATCTGTCGCAAATAAATTAAAATTTCATAATTGTGTAGGCTGCATTTTATCCTTGATATGCCATCAACAAATTTTCATAACCCGACACGAATCTCGAAGCATGACACAAATATCGATATAAGATTTTGAGCAAGAGATGTTCAAATCTTGATAAAAACTCACCCAGAGCTTCAATTTCAACGAACTTATAGTCAAACTAATCAGCTCGATGAGATGACATAATGATATCAAAGGCAGTCCAATTCGAGTCAAATCAAGCCCAGATCAAGTCATTAAACTATTCTTGGAAGATTTTTGGACACACTTGGAAGGTCAAACGGGTGTCGAATCTGACAAGTTTATAGTCGAATCCAGCGTTTCGACAAGATGAATCCAAAGAGCCCAAGATCACTCAATTCAAAGACCATTAAGACATCCAAATGTCCCTTAAACACCGTCTGATTAAGGGAAGCTCTCCGGATCATCCGATCAAAATGGTTCATATTCCTGTTTTAATTGCCGTTAGAACACTATAAATAGACGTCCAACCCTCACATGAGGGGGAACTGAAGCCTATAGACAGAGCCTGTGGCCTTGAGGAGTTGTAACTCAGCATCACCGTTGACCAACGTCGATCACCACCGACCGCTCCAACCGTCGACACCGCCACCGCTGCCGACCACCGCTAAACACCGCAGATCACCGCTGACCGCCGTAGACCATCGCAAACCGTCGTTGGCCATCGCAGACTGCCATTCCCCAACGCCATTGACCATCTTAGATAGTCATCGACCACTGCCATCAGCCATCGCAGACCGTCATTGACCACCACCGTCAATCATCGCAGACCTTCATCGACTGCTGCCAACCTCCGTCGATCACCGCCGACAGTCATCGACTACCACAAACCAAAAGTCGTCAGTTAATATTATAACTTGAAAAATCTAGTGACCATTCCCATATGTGAGACAAGAGCTCATCACTTCGGTTCAAGTGCCAACAACGACCTACGTGGTCATCAGTTCATGCAGCTCCTGACTGAAGCCCCCTCCGGCCTACGCACATCATTCATACTCGGCCCAACAACCTACGTGGTTCACAGCTCGTTCAGCTCCCAACTCCAGCACACACAACCTACAAACGACAATCATACTCACCCCCTACGACCTACATGGTTCACAGCTCATGCAGCTACTGAATTCGATCCCACAGACTATGGACGTCACCTCTATTGACCACTACGGTTTAGGTAACCAACTACGACCTATGTGGTCTACAGCTCCAGCAATTACTTATTATAGCTTCTCCAGCCAATCAACGCTTCTGAAGCAATCATCCACAACACTAACGACAGACAACTACCTCCACAACAATCAACAATGTCCCTTGCAACATGCTATCACCAAGGACTACAACTAGATTATAATTATACAATTGTGTAATTCCTTCTTCCCTAATTTAGGAGAAGAATGAACTTGTATACTCATCATTCATAGTTGATTATTTCAACTGGTTTCCACCCTTTCAAGGGTTTTCCACATAAAAAATCAAGGTGTTTCCTCTATCTTACTTCTCTTCTTTTCTTATGTGTGCTGAATTTTCACACAACACAAACAATAATCAACTACTTTACCGCTGCGAATTTTTTAGCACACATCAGTTTGGCACCGTCTGTGGGAAGCGAAGTCCCGTTCGTCATTGTCTTCAAGTCTAAGACACCAAGCCCCCTAACTTCCTTTCCCGATAATGTACTTCATCCAGCTGGCAAAGTAAACTCTTTCACATCATGAAGATCATCTCCAATGCATTCTTTAATGTGGGGGGCAACCTTCACTGCAGTCTCAAAAAGTCGTTCACATCAACATCCCGTGCACGATTGTAGTAGGCTTGTCTTCTCACATCTTATTCAGACACAAAGTATTTCACAAATTTTTCTAGGCTGGGGGGCAATCTTCACTGCAGTCTCGAAAGGTCGTTCATGTTAACGTCTCGGGCACCATTATGGTGCGGAAGTCATCCCACATTTCATTCAAATTACAAGTCTACGAGAATCGCTCCTGTGTTGGGGGGTAATCTTCACCACAAATAACACTTCCTCAGCGCCCCCTAATCGTACTGGAGTTCTTCTTCAACTAGATCAAGAAGTCAAACTCTTCAAGGACTAATACATAGGTTGTTTTACAAGCTCACATGGAAAACACCCACACTATGGGGCAAAAGATTCAAAAGCAGCAACTAAAAAGTTGTCAAACATTTTTTTTGAGTATGACTGTAACCATATTGCCAAGAAAACATACGATCCATTGAGATCTACGCCTTAGTATCGAGAAATGCAGAGCATCTCTGAAACCTCATTTTAGGCTTAATCAATTCTAGTGGGACTTGATTCAACCTCTTCCATTACAAGCTACAGTCATTGATCCCACTTTTTGGTACTTACTACGATGCATGTGTGGTTAGATTCTCAATTCTCTTTATTTATAATTCTTCTTTATAATGGTGCCAAAAACTTGATTCCGAAGCAAGCAAGAGTGCAACTGTTATATTTAAATATTGGGATACTACGCAAGTATACGTATAATTATCAAGTAATATAGGATTTTTTGATTAAGCCCTAAAATATCGAACCAACAAGGAGAACTACAAACTCTTAAGAAAAAATTAGACAACAAATTCTACATTAAAAAAGAGTCTTACTCAAAATATAGATACTATGCTAGGAATTAAAATTTGATTCTTTTTTGGTAATTTTTTGATAATTAAAAAAAAAATAAACAACTAATTAATTTAACTAGATTTTGGTAAGATGAAAGCAATACAAATAAAATATTTTTTTTCTTATCATGAATCAATAACAAGTATAAGAATTTTGTTGTGAAAATAATTGAATCATGTTGTGCCAAATAGGAGCAATATTATTCCTTACCCTTACTAGAGATGTTATAAAGAAAATTGGTTAATCTAAAATTTGAATAGTCCTGAAGAAGGGCTAGGTAATGAAGATACTAGCTCTCACTATAGGGTTCCCTCTTCCCCCTCCACATGGAGGCTAATCTCTCGTATCAAGACCTAAAACAATAGATTGAATTGGGGGCTTTAGTCTGTCATTCTAAAGTCCTCTAACTCTACACTCTTCAAACTTTATTTCCTTATTTATTTACACTCAACCATATGAATTACATTCTCAACCATACAATTTCCATGTGATTCTACCATTTGTGGACTGAGACAATACCATCACAGATCTTCATGCTCTCATAACAAATATTAACATCTCAATTCGCCAAATCAAGAAGTAAATGAAGTACAAGGATTATATCATCACAATTTTTTTCGACATTATAGATCAATAATTCACACAACTTTTATCCAATACTAAATTACTTATCATTTTAAGGGAAAAGATAAAGAAAACTACTCTGCATTCATGAAGAAAACACAATAATAATTAAGTTTAAAAGTAGAATTCATGTGAAAACACAAGAAGTATAAATTAAAACTAAGTATAATTAAAAAGATAAAAACTTATCTCAAATTCCTCTCTACCAAACTCTTGAAGTTCCTTGAATCTCTTCCTTTCTCTTACAATACTCCCTAGAGTTGGTTGCCCAACCTTAAAGGGTTAAAATCTCTCTATATCACTAACAAACTACAATGGATTCTTACTTAGAACTATCTATTCACTTTCTCCTTTACTAGGAATGAGAAAAGTCAGAAGAAGCTCTAAATAATATCCTACAACTTCTTACTTTCTACTCTCTAAGAGTATCCTAAATCTTCTATATATATCTTTCTCTAATCTCCTCCTTTCAATGCAA